CACCAAAAGCACAATTCATAAACAGAAAAACTGATATAATGAACTTCATAAAAATTAACCTTTGCCCTAAGAAAGACTCAGTTAAGATGAAAAGATAAGCTCCAGAGTAGGAGAAAATATTTGCAAACCACATATCTGACACAGGATTAGTTATCTAGAATATATAGAGCTATCAAAACTCAACAGTAAAAAAAGCAAATAATCTAAACAGAAAATGGAGAAAAGACATTAAGAGAAATTTCATTCAAAGAGGACGGGGAAAAAAAAAAAGGACAGGCAGATGGCAAATAAGCACATGAAAAGATACTTTGCTTCATTAACCATTAGAGATATGAAAATTAAAATCACAATGAGATATTACTACACACTTATAAGAATGGCTTAAAATAAAATAATAGTGATAACACCAAAGCTAATGAGGTATGGAAAACTAGATCCTCTTACACTGCTAGTGGGTTCAGTCACACTGAAAAACAGTTTGACAGTTTCTTAAAACACTAAACATGCAACCACCATAGACCCAGCAATTATGTTCCTGGTCATTTATCCTAGACAAATAAAAATTTATGTTCACCTAAAAATCTACATGTAAATATTTATAGCGGTTTTATTTATAGTAAACTCAAACTGGAAATTATCTGGATGTCCTTCAGTGGGTGAGTGATTAAGCAAAACTCTTGTGCATCCATATCATGGAATAATACTCAACAACAAAAATGAATGAACTACTGATGTATACAACAACCTGGAAAAATTCCACAGAATTGTGTTAAGTGAAAAAGTCAATCCCTAAAGCTAACTTGCAGTATGATCCCATTTATGTAACATTCTAGAAGTGAAAAAATTGTAGAAATGAGAACAGATTAGTGGTTTCCAGGAGGTGGGTGTGGGAGGGAAATAGGTTTGGCTATAAAAAGGAAGCATGAGGAATCTTTGTGATGATGAAAATGTTCTGTATCTTGACTGTATAAATGTCATAATCCTGTTTGTCAAAATGAACTATAGTTTTGCAAGATGTTATAATTGGGAGAAACTGAATAAAGGGTATTATGGGACCTCTCCATATTATTTTTTTTACAACTGCGTGTGAATCTAGAATTAACTCAAAATAAAGAGTTTAAGAAAGAAAAATTACAGCTAACAGTGAGGGAGAAAATTTTTAATAGAATTCACCAAACTTACCTGTCCGAGGCTACGATTATAAATTAAATAAGCTTAAAAGCTAAAGGGCAGTATGGTAATATAACAGTAGAATATTTCATGCTCACAATAATGATTCTATGGCATGAAGAAAAGATTAAACCATATTTATCATAATTTATATAAAAGATAGAAGTGTACATTGTAATTTAGAAAGATTCATATTAAAATGTTAAAGTTTGCGTAATCTGTAAGTATTCCATTTCTGACAATGGTTTTCATGCATCACCCATATTGATCTTTGACTCCTACTGACCCTATCTGCTTAATTCCAACTCTACCTCCATACTCATTCTCTTGCTCAGATTGTATAACAGCTTTTTACCTGTTCTCTTTGCCTCTAGTCTGTGCTGTCAATTCATTCTTTACCCCTTTACTATAATGAGGTAAAATGTAAATCTGATCATAACACTTCTCTTTCAACAGCATCTCAGAGTCCTAAGGATAAAGTTTAATTTCTTTAGATCGGCAGAAAAGCTATTTAATGAAATGTCTCCTACCAACTCTCTAGCTTCATCTTCTGATTCTCATCTGCATTTTTCTATGCCTAAATCATACATATATTTCATAACATTAAGTTTTTTCACATATTGTTCTCTTTGCTTAAAATACCTTTACCCTTCATATTTCCTGGCTAATTCTTGATTATCTAGTAAGACTTTACTCTTCCAGGAATTCTTTATTGTCTTGTAGTAAATAAAATGTGTTGCCACAGTACCTTGTAGGTGACTCTATCATAGTATTTATTGCATAGCATTGACATCTTTTATTACTTCAGTATTAGTAATTTGAGGGCAGGAATCATGTATTTTATTTTTTATCCTCCAGTATATTAAGCCCAGTAAAAGTTGAGTGAATAAATGGCTCTTCTCTATGACATTATTTTAAATGGTCAAAGATAGCTTCTAAATATCCTAAATTTCTTTAATTTTCCTTTAATATATTATAGATAATATACTTGTGGATATTTAAACCTAATGATATAGCAACTTATTGGAATTTGAATCTATTTTTTAGCTTATACTATGTCTTTATATGTGGTTTGGTAAATATGACATTGATTAAAGTATAATTCCTTTTTATTCTAAGGGTATATTTTTCCTGCTTCATGGGTAACTAACTCTAAGCTCTATCATTCTCATTGATAATGCAGCTACCCTATACTTCATGTTTGCCAATAATTCATTCCATGATTCTCTAGGTAATTTTTTTCTACCTTTAGGATATTTAAAGGAATCTTTATAATTATAAATTTTAGTGACTCTTCTAAAGTGCTTGTGCCTTACTTGCTACTTGGTAATGTTTCCTTTTCTCTTTATTTGGGCAATTTCCCCTATTCTGTCCTTTACTCTCTTATTCTACTAGTTAGTTACATAGGGATTTTGTCTGATCACCTGTATATATTTACATTATATTGTTTTAAAACTATCCAAAGCCTCCTTTTGAGCTCTTCACTTAAAATTTATTTCATCTTCTTTTCTTCACGAAGTCACATTTAATCAGATTATTGCCATTTCTAAAGTTTAATGGTAAAATAATTTTTCTCCTGATGTTTAATTATTGCTACTCAATCAACTATGTTTGCTGAATGAATAAATGCCTGTTCACTTATTTACCAAAAGATAGTTCTAAAATGGAAATTTAAAAACAATGTAGGAAATAAGTTGGTTTATTTCCTATATGTGTGCATATATGTTAAAATTTCTTAGTCTAGAAAGCAGCATATTAGAAAGTTACTTGAGGATATGCTCTAGCAAACTAATGGTATAGGACAAAATGAAAAAAAGGAAATTGCAAGAAACTGTGGCTTCAACTCCTAAGAGCAATAAAGGAAAGTCCCTGGATGCCAGTTATGCATAGGCCTAAAAGGTAACCAGTATCTATTTGAACAGTACCTATTGGTGAAGGAAGGGAAGAGGTTTTGGAGGAAAACAAAGAGGACTCCATTATATGGATACTAAATGAGAGAATGGAGAACGTGATAAAAACACACAAGAAAAATACTGGCAAGTAAAAAAAGCAAAAAAAAAAGGAAAAAAGGAAATAAAAATGTGTGATTTTAAATAATTAATAGAAATAAATAAAGAGCACTTGGTACTACGAACATTTTCCTTTGAGTACTACTAGGAAAGCCCTGACAATGTCAAAGTATAACTGACAGAAATAGTGAAAGGAGATTGTCTTTACTTACAGGAAAAATACTTAGAAAAACCCAACAACTCTGTGACCATAATGTGAGTGGATAGTATAAGCATAAATGGATAAATAATAGTAAGGCCAAAAAAGAGCATAAGGATAGATGTATTCTGAAATTCAGAAGTGAATAAATAATTTGGTCTCCTTCATAAAAAGTGAAATATAGAGACAAATGATTAGTGTTTAAAAGAGAAAATTTTATATGTCTTTACATAGCATTGTAGGATAACAGAAAAATAAAACATAATGAAATTGTACTGGAAAATGTTCTGCCTCTTAGAATTTTAAACCAAAATTCCTCTTCTATATTTCCTACATCAGAATTCATATGTGATGAGAGAAGACAGGGAGTTATGGATCAAATTCCATATATAAAGTCTGTTATTTCACAGAGCAAGCCAATTATTAGAAAACACAACTGACAAATACTAATTTCTTAATCGACAAAATAAATAAGCTTAATAGGGAAGAAGCACTATGTGCTAGGTACCATAATAATTATTTTTAGGTGTTTTCAACTTTTTAGGTGTTTTTACTCTTTTTTGTTCTACATAATAATCCCTTGAAATAGATGCTAATAATTTAAATTATAAATGAGAAACTGAGGCTCAAAGAGATTAAATAACTTGCTCTAACTCATGAAGCTAGTACTGAAACCTAGATCTCTGACTCCAAAGCCCATAACTCTTTCAACATATGATTATTCATCTTTATTGAACACCTATCATGTGCCTTTTATAGGCTTAGAATTTTAGGAACCAAAAGGTAGGAGAAAAACAGAAGCATACAAATACAAAACAAAAACAAGTTTCATTAAATAATTTCAAGTACACTAGACAATTAAAGAGTTAATCTAAAGAGAAGTATGCCAGAAAAAAAATTACAGGCAAATAATTTTGTATTCCCCAAATGAGATTTGCAACATATGTCCAATGAGGTACTTAATAAATTTTAGGGTTTTTATGATATTCATATATTGTAGAAATATGAACAAGTTAGCAAAAACAATAAAAAATGGCATAACCACATTATCTTAAAAAATCTAATTATTAAAGAAATCTTGAAAAACATTGTCACTGGTTTGCATTTTTACTTTAGTTTCCAGCTTATACTAGAAAACTGTTTTTTTAATGGCAGTCATTTATAAAATTCTTTTATCACATTTCCACCATTATTCATATTTCCTCCCATTTTTCCAATAAGACGATGAGGATAGCACATACAAAAAAATTATACAGAAGTGAATAATAAATTAAAACCAAATCATATTCTATTAGAGACTAAATACTAATTGGTAATCTTTTAATTTATCATGAAACAATACATAAAGAAGATAATACATTTTAAGAAGTGTATATGACATTGTAATTGGAAGTTCTATGACAAGAAAAGGTGGCTATGGTCATAGTCAATACTATAAATACACCACATTCTTTGTGCTTTAGGCAGAAAAACAATATAAAATGTACAAAACCACATAAATTTTGATCAGTGTTTTACAGATAAAGCATGTCATGACTTAGGTTCATAAAATGGTACAAAGTAGAAACACTACTAATTTATAATGACTTTTAATTTCTATACTATGAATAAAATACACTTACTTTTTTCTCCGGTTTGACTCCACAAAATATTTACGTGCTCGATTTCGACATATTTTTTGTTGCTGCAGTAATATTTGGCGTTCTTCTTCTAAATTTTTCTCTAGATGTATTTTCATATCTCTAATGATAGCATAAAATTAAGGACAATGGTTCATGACTTTAGTGAATAAGTGTCAGTGCTATCTGATAAATATAATTATAGACTTATACTAATGACAAATGATTTTTTGTGGAACAATTAGTATGCATACATATTAGTGTTGGTATATGACCAGCAAGTGTTTTATGTAAAAATTCTGTCTTGGTATTAGAACTGAAGATATGTCTCACTTTCTCTAGGGGCAAAAATTACTTTTAGACATCAGATAAGGAGAATGCATATCATTTCTTTCATTACACAGATATTTGAGTATTAAAAAGTTACTATCTTAAGCACGTATATAAGAAAATGAAGGTTATATTTCACTAATAAAATAGATGAATTATACTTTTCAGTAAATTTCAGGATCCTTTCAGTATTATTACAAAAAAAATTTATATATATTTCGAAACCATCATGTTTATTTGAACTTTTACCTGTTTGAAACTAATGGGAGCTTATTCATTTTCAATGATGTTGCTATTAACCACCTCTACACCATTGGCCATATTCATTTTATCTTCATTTTACTGTAAAATTTTGTACCACTTCAACACAAACACACCTACACACACATACACATTTTAACTTAAAGTTTCTTTTGAAGGAATTATAAAAATGAAAATAAAAGGGAAGGAAATATTATTCTTTGCTAGCACAGAAACAGCTAAAGATTTATTTTGTTCTTCTCTAATAGAGTACTTTATTAGATGGAGTCAGACTTCAACAAGATGGCTGACTACTAAAAGTCACAACATGGCAGTGGAGGAAAGTGCGAGTTCCTTTCAGGATACACAAGAGGCTCAAGCGAAGAAGCATTCGCTCAGGTAAGAAGCATACAGAACTATGATGCAAGTGGAGTTAATTCTGTACTCTGTTCAACATGTTTGAGATCTCATCATAAGAACATAAAGAAAATCACAAATGTAAAGTTTGTAGTGTTCTGACAACTATATATTCTTAAATTTAATCAAATGACTATCTCTCTCTCTGTATATACAAACATAAATATATAAATGTTTATGTATAAATATAAAAATGTAATATGCACATATAATTTTTTGTTTGCTGAGTTAGAAAGATGCTGCTGCCTTTGCATCTTTTCAAAGTATGACCTTTAAGTTTCAAAAATAATCGATGGTTGATTAAATTTTTGTTTTTCATATAAGCTATACCTTATAGGTAAGATATTTCCATAAGAATCTCTGTTAAATACCTGTTCAAAGGAAGGTAATTTCTAAATACTTAACATTAAAACAAACAAACCCAAGAATACTATGAGTTGTTGGATTGGGTAAGTAACACATGATTATAATTTAAAAGCACAGCCTAATCTGCTCTATCTACTTCATCCTAATCTTTCCCTCTCCCGATTTAGTCTTTTTCCAATTAGAGGTCATTTAGGTTGTTTTAAATATGTTACCATAACAAATAATTATGTATCACACAACCTACATTCCTGCCAAATTAATCAGAGCTATCCTGATCCTTTTTCTTCTCTGTAACCCCTTCCACAGCCTTGGCTCAGGCATTCTAAATCCCTTGCCTGGAATCAGCAGTCTTCTAACTCACCTCCTTACTTCTAAACTTGTCATTCTCCCTTTGAAACTCCACGAAGCCAGCTAAATGCAAATCTGATTGTTTTTTCCTTTCTTTGTTGTTTTCAAAAGCTCCTTATCATCTTCATGATAAATTCAAATTTCTTGGAATATAAAGATTTCTATAATCTGGTCTGTTTTTCAACTTTATTTCTCAACATTTCCTTACATAAATCCTATACCCAGCCACATTAAGATACTTATTAACAGAACATGCCGTATTATATCATATCATGCCATTATATCTTAGCTCATCTTTTTGGGGTACAAAGAACCAAGGATGTTTGTGAGAGAATATGTGCAGATAATCAAGAATAAGATATAAATAGGGTAAGGAAGAGAGACAAAGTAAGTACTAGGATAAAATAGAAGGGGGAAAGACTGGAGACATGAAAAAAGAGGCACAGTGTAAAAGGGACATGAGACACCTTTCAGTTTAAAAAAACCCTCAAACTTTATTGTATTTGAATTCTTATAAGAAATTGAAATAATAGAACTTTAGCTAATTTTAATTAGGTAAACTTTATAAAGTTTTGTTCTTTTATAGACTTTAGAGTCAGGAAATTTTGACTCACATAGAAAGCTGGATGGTCTCTGAGTATTGAATTTATATTTGGAAATCACATGCAGTAATTTTACCAAGCCACTTGATAATTTTAAGACTACAGTTCTTTTATTTTTTTTCATTTAGTCAGTCATTTAATAAATTTGAGCAGCTACTTTGTACCAGATATTCAATGGGAAGCATTATAGATACTAAGAACATCCAAATTAATATTTTAAAAAGATGTTTAATGGTTTCTTCAACTAGTAACATGAGATTCTTGATTTAGTGTCTTCAATATATTCAAAAGAATTCCTTTATCTCTATTTAAATATATATGTATATAGACACACCGTATATTTTTATATATACTAGCAAAAACACAAACTAACAAAAATATATATGTATACACACATACTAGCAAAATTTGTTGAATTTTATCAAAGCCTCTTGGGCATCTACTGAAACGATCAGTTACAACTTTTTAAAATTTAACCATATATTTAGTATTTAAGTATATTTTTAGTAATATATGTCTTTACAGGAAGCCATCATTACAATTCTGTAATTAAGTCTTTTTTATTTTGTTCATTTGAGGTACTGCTGAATTTCTTTGATATTTAGATCAACATTCATACCACGTCAAATTAAAAGAATTAAATCTACGACCATTTCATTAATGAAAACGATGGAAAGATATACTTTGTCAATGAGCCATTTACAATGCTTAAAGATAAATTAGGGTTACTGTAATAGTTTAGTGTCCCAAGAAAATACAATGTCAAGGGGATAGAATCAAATTCATACAGAAAATGATAACTGTTTATTTCAGAACACGTCTTTGAGAGGACAGTTTTGGGGAGTAGCAAAGGCAAAAGCCAAAGTGAATGGGGTTAATAATGAATAGATAAGAGAAACTAGAAGGTGCTATTGCAGGCTACCATTTTTAGAATTTAGCCAAAGAAAGTAAAGACAGAAGGAATGGAAGCTAAAGGAAAGCATGATCAGAGGAGGGATATTTTAACAGATATGAAGCTCTACACATATCTGTCTTCCTCACTAGAGTTTAATCCCTAGCACCTAGAACAGTCTGCGAAAGAGCAAGGCACTAAATTAAAATTGTTTGTCAACTTGCTGTTAAAATTGTAACATTCCAGAGGTAAGAGACAATGTGGAAATAAAACGGGGTCAACTTGGAAAGAGAAGACAAGAATAAAGATGATTATACAACACCATCACTGCCAACCAAGCCCTTTGAGAGTACAAAGGTTAAATGCTAATTAACACAACATTCTCTGAAGGAATAAATATGGTTTACATATTTTGAAAATTCAATTTTCTGCAATGCAATCAACAACAACATCAAAGGTGGGCTCGACCAATTCTTAGGAAAAGGTCAGATATAACCAAGCATGAAGCGTTCAGGTCTTTTGGTTCTCATTTTCTCTGCTGTCTCTCTGACAACGGACTGGGCAGAGGATGGAAAACAAAACAAATTACCCAACTGTACTAGGCTTTAGTAGCCTGGTAAATGAATTAGGGTGTTAGGTTAAGTGTTAAAATGGACTCTTTAAAATAGCAAAACATTTTACTTATTTGTGGAATTCTCTCCAAGTGGCATGACTGATTAATCAGGAGATGAATAATATGAAGAACACGATGACAATTCTAGAAGGCAAGCAAACAATCCCCATAGAACACACAGTTGATGTATTTTGAAATTCGCAAAAATTTTACAACGAAGTTGAAGAATGGGGGTACGATAACAAGGTGTGTGTGTGGGGGGAGGGGTGGGGGAAATCGGTCATAGAATAGGATAAAACGGTATAATTTCCAGTCTAAGGGGAGCGACGACAGTGCTAAAGCAAACACTCGCATTAAGATGACTGGCTATTTTCTATTACCTTCGTCAGTGGTAATGGGAATCTAATGAGAAAAAAGATGGGTCCCGTTTCCAACACGCTACCCCGGCAACCAAGGATACAGGTAAGCACCAGGTCGATGATGCCCGCCACTAAACCGAGGGCTGAGCGGGGGTCTGTCACGGGTGTCCGAAGATTCAGCGCCCAGTCCCGCGACCGTGCTCCGGGCTCCCGGCCTCCAGGCCAGCATCCTTCACCTCAGCACCGTCTCCCGGCTCGCCCCTCGCGCCTCCCTCATGGCAGCTCCCACTTCCTCCTCCTCCTCTTCCTCGGCCCCTCCCTACACTCTGTCTCAGGGCCCGAGTCACGGGCGCGGAAGGGTTGACAGCCGCAGCTCTGATTCTCGCGCAGCGGCGCTGGTGGCTGTGGTGGCGACGGTAGCAGTGGCAGCGAACTGGCTTGACAACGGGAGAGGTGGCAGCAGCGACTCCGCCGACGCCGACGCCATCTTGACAACCAACAGACACAGCGTCCTTCGCGACAGAAACCAGGGGGCGGGGCGGTGAGGGGCGGGGCTCTCGAGCAACCAATAGGAGGCTCTGGCTGCCCCTCCTGCTCCAAGCGTTTCTGCTCGCGGCGGGTAGGAACCCTGGCACCTCCAGCGACCCGAGCCTTTGCAGGAGTTGAGAGTTAAATTGTACGTTAGAGGCTGACTCACTTCTACCTCCCTTTTTATGAGGATATTTTCGTGGGGGTAGTGAAAGTGATGAAAGACAGTGAGAAGCAAAATCCCCAGATACAGGCAACACCACCATGGGGGTTCTGAAATGATTGCCTCAGAGATAATTCAGGGTAGGATCTGTAAACTACCGAATCCTGTTGTGGGTTTTGACTTGTGAGTCTTTTTGGGGCATTCTATTCCCCAAACATCTTCTCTTTTAAAAAGCTCCTTAAGTGGAAATTTCCTTCCTCTGCATTCTCTCACCAACACTATGATGCTTCTGCTGTTACTTTGGCAGTCGTCTTCCTTGCCATTTCCCTACTTAAAAGGTCTACACTAAAATGGTGCCTGCCTTGCTGCCAGATTCTGGAAATAGACTATCACAGCATTGGTGGCCTGGAAAGACCTCCAAATTTAACCTAGTAATCTGGGAAGATATGTCAAAAGAGAGCATATTGAAATTGTTTCAGGAGGTATGGAAAACTTAATGATTTTCGAGCCATCAGGTTACTAGCTATGCAAGTGAAATTTTGAAAAAAGGCTGAGACTTTTTGTTGGAGCCCATTATAAAAGTACATATAAATTCTGACTATATTTCAGCCAAGTTTTTTTTTTTTTGGTGGAAAAATTCCCAGATTGGAAGCAGAATGTACAAATCAAATAAAGATCACTCACCATTCAAATGTTTCTGCCATTGTGATCAATTTGTTCATTTTTAGAGTTCAAATAACAAACTTTTCCTTTGAAACTATTTAAGTTTTTTTTTCAAATTTTGATGCAATGACCAAATTGGAATGTGCTCTAGTGACTGAGATTTTAAAGTGCCACAACAAATCCCGTTTTGATTTAAAATGCAAAACACATAAGCCTTCTTCAGGACAATGCCAAGAGGATATAATATATAATATTGGTGGAGAAAGGCCTAAATGTGTGCATTTGGATGATTAACTACCTTGGCAAGTTTTTAACTGGCTTAGCTACAGGCATTGACCTTGATTCTGTTCCCGCTGCTATCATCAAAAATTTCTCTAGGGCCAATGAGAGAGAGGGAGAGGGACAGAGAGAGGGAGAAGAGAGAAGGAAAAGTAGGATAGTGCAAAGTGCAAATGAAAGGGAGAAGGTTATGGTTGCTGTTTGGAGTATTTAGGCGTGTTTAGCCTTCCTCAAACTCTAGCTTTTGCTATATTATTAATTTAGTATATCAGAACTCCAGGCACCTTACTGCTTTGTTACACGGTATATTAGCATTAAGAAGCATAATTTGGTTGCTTACAAATGTCGCTCATATAAACATTCTTCATTCAAATGTTGCTTTACAATGATAACCAAGAAGAAAAAATTTAAATATCAGCATTTTTTAAATCACAGGAACGATTTTTTGACTTTCAGATTATTTCTTTCTTCAAGCTATTAAGCAATTTTTTCATTTTTTTATTTAAGTTGTATAGTCCTGATTCTAAAAAAGACTTTAAGATTAGATATTTAGAATGTAGAAAGATAATTTGAGGCATTTATAAACTCTCTTGACAGGAAAGGCAAATATGGTTCAAATAATAAAAAGAATATACTAAAATCTCTATATTTTGTCAGAAGAGACATCTGTATTAAATATAATGCTTCATTCTTTCATACTTCAATAAAATCATTTTTTTTTTTTTTTAAATTGGGCTGTGGCAAACTAGGTGCTGGGAATACAGCAGTAAACAAAACTTCAGAGTCCCTATGCTCATGAAGCTTGTATCTATATTTTTCTTCCCCACCAGAATATATCATGTAGTGAAAAGTGCTATGAGAAAAATGGAGTAGCGTAGGGAGATAGAGACTGATGTCAGTTCTATTTTAGGTAGGATACTCAAGGAAATTCTCTGAGGAAAGGAAATAAGGCCAGCAGTCTGAATGAAGAAAAAAAGGTTGCCATTCAAATATCTGGATGAAGAATATTATAGGCAGAGGATGCTGTAAGTATAAAAGGTAGTATAATACACTTGATATGTTTAAAGAACAGCAACATGAGATTGGAGAAGTGCATGGGGGATGTACTTCATAATCAGTGGAGACTTATATAGTATGCAAGGGATCAATATAAAATCCAACTTCCAATGGAAGGAATGCCACTGGAGAATTTTGAGTAGGTGAGTACTATCATCTAATTTAGCCTTTAAAAAAGGATCACTCTAGCTGCTGTGGGAAATTTAGACTATAATTTAGACTAGATATAAAGTGGCTAGTTTGAACATTATTATAGTAGGTTAGGTGAGAAATTATGAAAACTTGGACTGTAATG